GCCCCCCAAAACACGTGGGAAACCTGCGGCATCCTCTGCGTGCAGCCAGGAAGGGGCAGGATACGGTCTGCACGCGGGATCTTCCCGTGTGTTCTCCCGTTGCCTTGCACGCTCCCCACTGCTGTTGCTCGCCCTGCCCTTGCTCTTAGGGCTGCTCTGCTCGTCTGGATTTCTCCTTACGCTCACTGTGCCTCTCTGTTTCCTCTCTCTTCCTCCCGGGGCAGGGTGAAAAAGGGGAGCCAGGCATAAAGGTAGGCGTGATAAATACGGCTTGCTGCCGCGCCGGCTCGTCTGGCGGAGAGCGCTCTTCAGGCCGACGGGTCGCGCGGGGAAGCGGGGTCCGAGCCATGCCTCGGGGCATTCAATGGAGTTCACATCTGTGCTCTTGATTAACCGCGAGCAGACACGCCAAACCGGGGCAATAAAAGCGGCCTTCATCCGTCCGGGGGAATTTGTTTCTTACCAAAGGCATTTCTCCGGCTCTGAAGCTTGCTAATGATTTGTTGCCTCCCTCCATTTGCTGGGATGGGCTGGGGTTTCCTCATAAAATCTGGCGGGCTGACGCATCAAATCCCCTCCAACTCTGCAGTTCAGGCTGAGGTTTGGCCCCAGCCTTTTCTGTCTCCCTTTCTGCATCCTTTTTACAGGCTCATATGGTCTCTGCCCAGATGTTGTCTATTTGGTTGAAATTTACTGTACCCATACACTTAAAACATATTACTCAATGCAGACTGTGCTTAAAACATTACAACATTGGCAAGCGTTCCCGATAGAGCACATTGAGTCACGCTGTACATTCCCAACTTCAGGGGAAAAGGCTGGCTCTGTAATATGTTGAGAGGCATTAACAGTGACATATGTATTTCAAGCATTTAGTATGTGGCATGCAACTTATTCGCTGTGCAGCATATTCGGGCTGTGTTTTTCCCATCTGGGTGGATTGCTAGTTGAAAAGGCTCCTTGAGAGATTAACTGGGATGCGTTAGAGCCAGTTTCAAGAGCTGTTCGTGGGGGATGTAGGCTTGGGGTTAATAGCTGACTGTCATGCAGTTGAGTTCCCTCAAGAAAACGGTATTCCCTTAGAAGTAGTGGGGGGCATGCGAAGTTCAAGGATTCCCAACTTGACGTGGGGGTAATTCCATCAAGCTCAAAGGAATCACTTCTGGTTCATGCCGGTCTCAATAAAAGCAGAATTACACCCAGAACCGATGTATTTGGGGAGCTACGAATTTCTTGTAGCTGTCTCGAGAGCTAGGCGTTAAGCTGATCTGGAAAAATGAAGTTGAGATATGGATCTCGGTGAGTGAAAAGGCTGGAGGAAGCCTACGTCCCACCCCTGCTCGCGTTCCCATGCTCCGTGGCAGCAGACATCTGCTCCGGCTGCGCCCACGTATGAGGACTAATCAGGCCTTGATTCACCCTCTGGAATTAGAACCAAAATTCCCTCTTTGCAGTCAAGATGAAAACAAACACTCCGGTTATCTGAGTTAGATTCTACCTCTCTTTATTCTGAGAAACCCAGGCCAGATGCCGCAGCCGCATTGGAGCTTGGCGCTTGGTAGAGCCCCTCTTGGCCCTTGTGGCCACCATGTATTGGTCTCCACCCGCCCTCCATCAGGGCCATTAGACAGCTTGCATTTGCCATTTAGATTATAAAGCTGGTCAGTATTTTACGAAATACAGTCAATAATCCAAATTATAGAGTGCTTTTTATCTGAAGCGTGTGTATTCTTGCTCTGTGTGCCTTCCAAGGAAAGTCTAACCCCACAGCTCGGAGCAATGGTGCTGAGTAGACTGCCCAAAGAGAGCCTAGATTTTTGTTTTTGTTATTGTAAATGAAAAATATGGTAGCAATTCTGCACAAACCTGGCCTTGGGTTTTGCATTTCTTTTCCAAAGATGTTTGCTCCTCTCACAGTCCCTGGAGGGGACCCCGTTATCTTTGGGAATGTTGTGGCACAGGATGCGGTGGTGGGGAATAAGGACTGTTGTTCTGTTCCAACTCTATTGCTTGTCCATTTTGTGACACTTTTTCTTTGCCAGCCTTGTCCCTGATGGACCCTTGTCATCTCTGTTAGATTTGTTGAGTGCACTGCATAGTTGCTATGTCTTGTTATGGCAGTGAACTTGCCAGAAAAGAGGCCTTTTAAACTCTTATCTTCTACCTGGGAGGACTCATGTCATATCTGTTGCTTTCTTTTTTTTTTCCTGTGCTTCTCGCTGCACTTCCAGGGGGAGAGAGGCATGCCGGGGCTGCCGGGAAGACACGGCGCTAAGGTACCGTGCAAGCAACGGGGTGACGTTTTTCTGCCTGCTCCCTCCTCTCGGCTGCCCCGATGCTCGAGCATCGCCTGGGTTTATGTGCGTGCGTGTTGGCCGATGACTCTCCGTGGCTGGATATTCTTTCCGCTTCCAAAATGCAAAACACAGGGGGGAAAAATATATTTTCTTGCAAAATGCAGAATATATTTATCACGGGATGGTGGGGGGAGAGCTGTTTGTTCACAAGTGGCATGCTTCATCCGAGGCTGCCCTGTGGCCTCGGGCTCTAACGCTTTATGCTGGCGAGAGCAGCCGATCGCCGACGTTTCCAGGGGATCGGCATTCACGGCGTTTTGTGGATTTTGTGGCAAACTCCAGTGCGGTGTGTGCATTAGTGTAGAATACCAGAAAATAACATCGTCTGTGTTCGCTGCCACTGTAAAGCCAAAGAGCAAGGAGCAGGGACCCCAGATGTACCGCGACAGCCTAACCCAAGCCACCTTCTGCACATAATCCCTCCCGTGACTCTGGCCCGCGCACACTAAAACCTACTGATCTCTGCCATGTTCTGGAATGCGTTTTTCCCCCCTTTTATTGCATAGAATCCCTGATGTCCATCTTCTGTCCTTGTGTTTTTTAGCTTTGTCCCCGATTTCTGTCTCAGAAAGCTGAGAGGTATGATCCTGCTGCTCTCTAGCTCCCCACTCCTCCCGGTTTGAACCCCTCCAAGCTCTTCTCACTCTGAACTTGGCTCCTGCCCCTCTCCCCTACACCCCAACCCACCTTCTAACACCACTTCACCTCTCCCCCATCCCTTTCCCTAGACTCCCGTTGTCTCTCACACGCGCTTTGGTACCTGGACCCCTTCCCAGGACGTAACCAGTACTAACCACAGGCGCTCAGAGAGATCTCAGAGCAAAGGGTCGATGCCCAAGCGCTGCGTTTTGTCCCCGCGGGAGCACCTGTCTCCGGGGGGCTCGGATAGCAGGAGCAGGCTGGATTCCTGGGTCTCGTGATGGCAGTTTGCTCTGCCCTGCGGAACTGGCTGCACGCGAATTGCATCGCTTGGATGTTGTTGTGTTGTTCTGCGTGTTTTGCTTTAGTTATTTAGCTTTCCCCCTCTATCCCAGTTGCCTTCCGAGCTCTTCGGCAGCCGCTTGCCTGTGAGATTTATCTTCTGTGATGAGCACAGAAGGAGAGGAGTAGAGAGACCAAGACCCCAGCGCTCCTCGGGACACTTAGCTCCATGTGTCCGGGATGCAGAGCCCTCCTGGGTGGCTGGTCCTCGGTCCGTGTCCTTGCATTCCCCCATTTTTCGGTGCTCTTGTGCTTGTCCGTCTTGGCTTGGCTCTCAGACTAAATCATTGGGGTGGGCTGGGGAGATCTGCTCTTCCTGCCTGGGTTGAGCTTTCCGGGAAGCAGAGCCGCTGCCGTAGGTGGAGCGGCTGCCTGGGAAAGGAGGATGCGTGCCGTGTGGTCTTGCAAGACTTCTCCCGGGCTTCCTAAGGGGGAGAAGATGTAGATTTTTGCTTTTGTAGCTCCACCTGGCTGATAGTGCCTTGTAAATCATGTGCTTGTGTCCGCTGCGTTTCCAACGAGGTCTTCCCGTCTCTCTCTCTCTGCTAGGGCGCTGCCGGCGTGGCTGCTGCAGGTGTGAAGGTCAGTCTTGCCCCTCCGCTGTGCGTTTGGGGCCAGGGGAGCAGGGCCGTGGGGAGCCCCATGGCCACTGAGGGGGTCAGAAGCTGCTGGAGAGGCTGGAGATACCAATAAGATGGGCAGGGAGAGCACAACCTGCGCTGATCCATCCCCTCTGGTTGATCCATCCCCTCTTTTCCTCACCAGGGCGAGCCGGGGACTCCAGGAGAAAAGGTACTCTTGGAAAGCGCCGGCGCTCTGCGCGCGCGCTTGTGCTGCCCTTGTGCTCCTTGCTTCCCTAGCAAGCCCTGCAAGCGCCACTTCAATGCTTTATGGCGTTTAGGGATGTCCCCTCTCGCCCCACATTGACCCTCTCTGCCTCCGAGTACTTCCATGCCCACCACAGCCCCATGGGACAGGGTGACGGCTGTCCTTCCGTGAGGCGCCGCGCGAGCTGTCCCGTGGTGCCTCTCTGGTCACCAGCTGTCCCCCCATCCCAGCGCAGAGCTCCTGCGGCAGGCAGAGTGCAAAAATACCCCTTCGCACGCAGCTGGCTCGCTCGCAGGACAGCTGGCTCCTCTTGCTCTAGCCGGTCGGGGTTATGTTACTGCTGTGTAACAGGCGTCTTCTCTGTCTCTCTTCTTCCCAACCAAGGGAGAGCCTGGAGTCCCCGGGAGGATGGGCCCCCCAGGTTTGCCGGGGAAGAGGGGGCAGCGGGTAGGACTCTGCGTGTTTGGGCTCGGTGTCCTGGTGCCCCCTGAGCGGGCACCATGTTGCGTTGGGTTGCGTTGGGTTGCGTTGGGTTGTGTTGCATTGGGTTGCGTTGCGTTGCATTCCTTCAGCAATCTGCTCCTTTCAGGCAGCATGGGCTGTTTTCCCCAATTTCCACTGTTCTCGCAGAGCCCCGATGGGCGCCTGCACTAAGCTGCTCCTTGGGCGAGCATGCCTGGGGTTTGGAGCGGGAAGCACACTTGGGTAGGCGAGGGAAAGGAGACCTGTGCCAGGACCATTCCAGTGGGCAGCTGTGGCTTGAGCGAGGGCTCTGGATCCCTTTCCCACTTGCCTATTTTGACGGGGCATCTCCTGAGGCGACACCTGGTGAAGGACCAGGCATGGCTAACGGAGTGTTCTTCCCATTGCAGGGGGAACCGGGAGCACCTGGAGAGCGGGGACCCGCAGGTCCACGGGTAGGTGGCCCTTTGCAAATGCTGGGAGAGCTTTGAGTCCTTCAAGGGTGGGTCTAAGGATGGTGGGAGGATGCAGATGGTCAAGGAGATGGGGCCAACCCAAGCCCTCACTGGGGGTTTGGTCTTTTGCAGGGCCCCAAAGGAGAGCCTGGGAAGGATGAAATGATGGACTATGATGGCAACATCAGCGAAGCTCTGCAGGTGAGGAGCTGCCCCCCTGCCCTGCGCCGTGGGGCTTTTCCGTGCCCCAGGGGGTGCTGGAAACCAGGAGTGATGGAAAGTGCTCGACTGCTCTACAGCGATTTGTTTTGTAGCCTCCTTGCTTGTCTGAATGTGTTTATTAATGGAAAACCAACCAATTACCAGGACTGGGGAAAAGCTAAGTTTTCAAAAGGCTGTCTCACTCTCTCTCTCCTTTTTTTTCCCCTACTGATATTTATTTATTTATTTATTTTCATTCTTTTTTAGGAAATACGAACTTTGGCCCTGATGGTAAGTGCTTAGTTGAGGGCTTTGTATTTTAAGCAAGAAACTGGGTGCTCATCCTAGGCAAACGGCCTGGCGGCTTTGCTGCTACAAAAACATTTGCCTTTTACTGCTGAGAGCTAAAGCAAGAGGGCATGATCGAAGTGAGGAAAGAGGGTGCTTTGCAAAAAAGCTCATATCAGTGACTTATGGTGGACAATTGCTGTGGAGGGAGGTGAGGGCACCGCAATGTGTTGCAGTTCCCTTTAAACTCAGAGGAGCTGTTTGATTCCAAACATGAAAAAATAGATGCTGTGGCCACCGTGAAACTGATTCCTTTTACATTTTATTTATTTTTAGGGACCCCCAGGACTCCCAGGTGTGGCTGGGCCTCCAGGGCCACCAGGACAGAAGGTATTTGCTTGAATACCCAAGGGAAGGAAGAGTTGTTGCTGTGTATTTCGGCAATGCCTCTCTGTCGTCCCATGGCCAAGCAAAAGCAGCCAGAATTTCAAAGTGTCAAAATATGATTTTGTGCTTCAGGGTGAAATTGGTTTGCCGGGTCTTCCAGGCCACGATGGAGAGAAGGTAAGACGAGGTGTCTCTGTGGATTATCCTTCCCTCTGTGGTGTTGTTCGCAGTAAGAGTGTCCATCTCTGCTTTTACAAGACGTTCCCCAGTTGCTCTTCTCTTTCGCTCTGCAAAAACGAGCATTCAAGGTTTAGCCAAGTCCTAGCCCGTGAGGAGAAGCTGAGATGGCAGGATAAATCCCTCGGATGGGCAACGAGAAGGGCTCTGGGGATAGGGAGGAACTCTGCAGGCCTAGTCCTCTTCTCACCCACAAAATCCTCACTCCGTCCCGTGGATATCTCCTAGGGACCACGAGGCAAGCCAGGAGAAACGGGCCCCCCTGGCCCCCATGGGCTGCCAGGACGGGATGGACCACCCGGAATGAAGGGAGAACCAGGACATGTTGGAGAAAAGGGGGAGAGAGGAGAGCCGGGACAAACCGGCTTACCGGTGAGTACGTCTGGCTAGCGATGCCTCTTGCGTTTGCCTGGTGCAGTCCTGCAAGAAGCACCAATCTCTCTTGGTCCATAGGGTCTCGATGGCCCAGCTGGAGAGAAGGGAGAACGAGGTGACCAAGGGATGCCAGGACCGTCAGGATTGCCAGGTCCCTCTGGACTTCCAGGACTGACAGTAAGAGTGAAAAAGGCTGAACTTCCACACCGAGCAAACAAAAAACAGTGCAGGGCAAAACACAAGCAGATGTTTCTCCAAGTGCCGAGTGCCTCGGCAGGCTCGGACTGCTATCCAGGAGTGCCTTAGTGTCAGGATACCCCTGACTGCATGACTGACCCGTGAGCTCGGGTCTCCTGCAGCAGGCAAGGAGCACACAAGCTGGGCTCCTGCTCCCAGTGCTCTCCGGGGCACCCGCATGGCTAAATCAGCGGGAATGCTACTTGTTTCCCACCCCTCCTGTTGGGAATTGCTGCTCCATGGTGTACGGGTGGCTCACGGTGGGGTCCTGATGGGAAGGCTCTGCAGTGTGGCTGGTGCTGACATGGTCTGTTGTGTGCAGGGAGAAAAGGGAGAAGCCGGGCAGCGTGGCGAGAAAGGATATCCTGGAGAATCGGTAGGTCACCTTTTGTGTTTTCTTTCTGCAATCTTGGTGGCTACAGAGGGATGGTTTGGCAGCAGGGCCACATCTCAGCCTCTTATGATGCATAACCTGCATTGAGCACGGGAAACTTCATCGCGTGCAACAGAGTTGCCAGCCATCCTTAGCTCCCGATGCCCTCATTTTTCCATTATACAAGGGCAATCTAGATCAGTGACTTTTATCAGACAAGGACTTCTCTTCCATTGCTTTTCAGATACCAGGCCCCCCTGGACCTCAAGGCCCACCAGGACCTCCAGTAAGTTTTGAGCAACTCATCTGAGGAGCAAGGCACTGGGATGCAGGGGGAAGTGTTTGGGGAGGATGTTGGCTGGAGGTGACCACTGGAGGCACTGCGGGGTTCGAGTAGGAATAGGCTTGGTACCAAATTTCCAAACTGCACCGCGGGGTAGGTCAGAGCTATGATGGTCTGTGGGGGTAAAGAGAGAAGGTTGCGTTAGAGCCTGAGATGAAAGGGAAGGCTGTAGAGAGACGGGATGGATGGGATTAACAGGATCAACTGCAAAAATGGTCGTAATAGCAAGCCTGGCATGTCTCCAGGTTGTTCTTGGCAAGAGCTTCCTTGCTACCAGAGCAGGACAGTACGTGAAGTGCCCTTACGCAAAGCAAAAGGCCTTTGGGCTGAGTGATTGCATTGCTTGGTGACAGGGATACCTGGCGTTCAAACCATGCCCTAAAACGTTACTCAGTATCTTATTTCTCATCCCAAACGCAGGGTCTCCAGGGCTTTCCAGGACCGAAGGTAAGGCTGTAGGACCTTGTGTAGTGATACTTTATTAGATATCCAAAGTGCTACCATGTCTTTCAGCAACAATTTTCTAGGCCTCAAATCTGATTTTTCTTTCCATGTTGGTAAGACAAAAAAAAAAAAAAAAAACAACTTCTGAATATCTTCTAGAGAAAGAAATGGATTGGCCGCACTCATTTTAGGATCAAGGAAAACGGTTATTCTCTCCCGTTTTGACCCAGAGCACTGGGAAATGACTGCCCCTTGGACAGGCTGTGTGCAATGGGAAGGAAAAGCCTGTCATCCAGCCCCCCAAAACCCTGAGCTCTGTCTTAAAACTGGTCAAGTCTTAAATGCTGTAAATTCTACTGGAAAACCATTCAAGGACTTCATTGTTGTTGGTGATCAGAAACTTTCTAATCTCTATCCACGTGCATTGCTCTGCCTGCACCAACGGTTTGTCTGCACAGAGATGAAAGCAAAACTGGGTGGAAATTTTCAGGAAGTTCTGCATTTTCCCTCCTCCATTCTTAGTAAAGCTAGGAAGAAATTTGTGCAACGAGCAACACGGTAGCTCTTCTGGCCAGGTTTGGCACATGGGTGACAGCCCTACCTAGGTATTAATGAGCATGAGATACATATCTTAATGGCTCTTTTCTCAAGATGCTGATTACAGATGCAGTTACAGGCCTTGCTTGTCTGTTACTCACTAGCCCCTGGTGTCTGGGGAACTCGTGCAAGACACACACTTCTTCAGGGCATGCGCCAAGGAAGCAGGTGCAAGTTTTCTGCAGCGTAGATGAGATTAGGGATGGAAAAGTCCTGCGTCGGTTCCTTCAGAAAGAACTTTGTGCTGATTGAAACTTTTTGGGTTTATCAAAATGTAACATTTTGTTTCTATTGCCCTACAGTTTATAGTCTAGAATTTAAATATATGACACTTGTCATTCATTTCCAAGGGATCCCAGTTGCAAAGCCACCCCAGGGTATAATTTCCCCTGATTTTAGCACGCGTGTTGTCACGTTCTCTGCGCCACGGCGGCGCGCTCTGGACGGAGGAAGGTTTGTTATATAAGCGGTGAGTTTATCTTCTCCTCCCTCCTTCCTTTAGGGGGAAGTGGGGATCGACGGAGCGAAAGGCGAGAAGGGTGCTCAGGGTGAAAAAGGAGACAGAGGGCCACTGGGATTACCCGTAAGTACCCAGGAAGCGAGCGGCGCTTTGCGAGCCGAGCCCGCAGCCGTTGTAAAAGGATCCCTCGACACGAGGCACGCACGGGGATTTGATAGGCAAAGGCAAGAGAAAGAGATGCCCTATAAATAACTGCGCAGGCATGTTCAGTAACGTGGGCCCAGGGCTGCTGCAGCACCCGGCTCGGCAACGAGGGGTTTCGGCAGAGCGATAGTGAGTGATGGGGACCCTGGTGCCACCCAGTTGCTCTGCCAGCCCCCAGGTTTTCTCTCTCCATTGGAAGCACAGCTGGCAAAGCCCCTGGTCTGTGCACCGTGTGGCTTTGTCCTTGCTGTTGGCCTTCGTTTGATGCGCCCGGTCCTGTGCCCCTGGTTTTGGCTCAAATGTGCATGTCTTTGTTTATACCAGTGTTTTGTTTCTTCGGTTGTGTTTATTATAGCAGCTATACATGAGGGCCTGGGCGTGTTTCAGCCAGCCCTAGTCGCTGCGCTGAGCTGCTTCTCTCTGGCAGAAGCTGCAAATTAAAAGCTTTCCATGTAAACAGCTCTTCCCTGCAGCCTCTGTGCTACGGGGATGGCTTACGTGGGTCCTCGGGACCATCTGAGCAAAAGATGCCCGGGGTTGTGTGTTCCCATCCTGCCTACGCTCCCTCTGCCGGCAGCTGCCGGAGAGGAGGCGCTGGAAGGCTGGACCTGCTCCCATGCATCCCTAAGGTCTGTGGATGCGGAAGCTTGGACCGCCTGTCCCACATGGAGGTCTTGGTGGTTGCTTATTGCAAGTGTGTGTTTGTCTCGAGCCACTGCTTCCCTCATGTCTCCTCCCTTTTCTGTTTGTTGTTAACCTCCCGTGTCTGTCCAGGGTGCCTCGGGTTTGGACGGCAGGCCCGGACCGCCGGTGAGTCCCGTTTCTCCCCTTCCCCATGGTCTCCTCCCCAGCGCTGTGCTTTGTCCCGTCTCTCCCGCCGCAGCCTCGTCTATGCCAGGAACAACCCTCTTGGGCTTAGCGACATCCATGTGTTTTGTCCTGTGAGCTGCGTCCCATAAGGACCAGGAGGCAGCACTCGATTGCAGCATGTGGACAGGGAGGCAATGGGAGACACTAACGCAGAACACAGATGTCTCTACGGGGTTGGACGTGCCTGAATCTGCCCTTGAGCTGCCCTTGAGGCCCTTGAGCTGCTTTTGTCATCTGCTTTGAAGATGAGCTTTGTCTGCCTTCACTTCTCAAAGCCCAAGCAAGCCATGGCACTGCTAGCATATTTACCATGCTAGAAGATGGCCCTTGTATCAAAGAGTGAGCTGAAGGTCTGATTTTTCATGTTAGCGTGGCCGAGAGCCAGGTGGAATGGCAAAAATGGCAGAAAGGGAACAGGACTCGGGCGGGAATGATGCCCATCTTGGTTTGCTTCTGTGTACGTACGCACCCGCACTCACCTTGGCAGCACGGGCTCTGTCAACCCGCATGACTGGCTGCCTGCCACCCAATAATGCCAATTCTTTCATTTTTGCCTCAACTTATCTTTTCCTAAGGGAGCTGCTCTGTCTCATGCCTATAAGGAGGACCTAGAATAAATAAATAATAAAAAAAATGGGCTGATATTGTTTTTTTTCATATTATTTCAGGGTACTCCGGGACCAATTGGGGTTTCGGGGCCAGCAGGACCAAAAGGGGAAAGGGTGAGTTAGCTTAAAAACTCCCTGTATCACTCTGAAACTTCTCTGAAGGCAACACAATCCCTAGGTCATTCCAGGAGCTGGAATTTCTCCCTCCTGCATGTAAAAAAAAAAAGTGGAGGCCCAGCTGAGGGTACTAAGTATCTTGTCCCTGGGCTTTGAAATGGATGTCTTTACCTTCCTTCTATAATACTGCAGAAGTCCTTGCTGTGCTGTCTGTCTGTACAGCGTGGGATTTTAACGATTTCTACTCTTTTGTCTCCATTTCAGGGCAGTAAAGGAGACCCTGGAGTTGTAGGACCAATGGGACCAGCGGGGCTTCCTGTAAGTACCGGGTGCACTCGGGATTTCTGTCACTTCCAACAGCTTCCTCCTTCCATGTCTGACATCCAGAGAAATCTGGCTGAAATCTGGCACTCGTGGCTTGGTTAGGTAGTTCTTACAACTGAAACCAGGAGCTTTGCTTCCCTAGAGGAGCATCAGGAAGGCCTGAGTAGCTCCAGACTAGTGGTTCAGAATGAGATGGATGCAGCTGGCATAGTGAAACTTGATTCATCTCAGTCCTCATGCCATCAAAAGAAGCTGTGGGAGGCTCACAGGATACATATTTTAATCAAAATTGCAGGAAAGGGTTTTTTGTTGTTTGTTTTTTAACCTAAAGCAATTAATACCGAAGGAAACAGCAGGCAAACTCTTCAGCAAATTCTTCTTCCTGACTGGGCATACAAGGAGACCTGTGTGTTTAAAAAACGACTCTTCTCTTGCTGATGTGTTTCAGGGTTTACAAGGTCTACCTGGTGACAAAGGAACCCGGGTAAGCGACCAGGCAAACTCTCTCTTTTTGGTTACTAATGTCTCTACGCAGTGGTAAAGGGGTTGATATCTGAGCAACCTGATGATAGCCAGCATGTAGTTGGGTCTGCCAAACCTTCATGTAAGGAACTTTACAAACTTGTAATGCATAAGGTGATACCTGCAGTTCATATCATCAATGAGGACATCCTGGTCCGTCTGTCCAAAAGATTCAGAGGGATTTGCTAGTGTGTTTGCTATTGCTGCAGCTCCATTCTCACTGACATGTGGGACTTCACGGGCAGTAGAGTTAGGCCAACACGGTGTGTTCTAGGAAATACTTCTTATCTGTGCAAGGATTCCCCTGAGAATCAATCGAGGTGGAAGCAGCAAATCCTGTCACCTTGCTCGTAAATTCCCCCTAGAGCTTGGCCTCTAGCAAATGATCTTCCAGAGAATTTGGATAAGACAAATTGATTTGATATATCTTAAAGAATCGCATGTGAAGTCTCCTCAGGCTTTGCCCTGGATGGATGTGACCGATGAAGAGCTGGGTTCCCCTGGGGCAACCAGTAATGCGAACGGCTGCATTTGCATCCCCTGCGTTATAAAAACATAAATACGACCCAAGCGCGTATTTAAGCACCTCGCTTTCCCATCAAGCTTTCAACAACTGCAAGGAATTTCTTGTTTGTTAAAGCTCTGAATCGTTTTGATAACAGCAATTGAGACATATCATTGAATCTAATTTATATTTGCAAATATAAATGGTTTCTTCAGATTATAGTTACTAAGGCTATAACTGTACAAATATGTCAAGTGGTTCAATACAATACACATATGTGCATGTACTGATATGCACATATGCATGTATACTTTCTCTTCAAAAGACTCTGGTATCACCTAAATTTATCCGAAAAGTTTTATGGTGCATGTGCACATGCAGTGACTTCATGATGTGAATTTATGTGATTTTTTTTATACATATATATAATATATATATATATACATATACATGTAATGAATAGCTTTCTGTCCTTACCACCTGCAATGTATTTCTGATCTTACTCTGCACAGATGGGCAGTTTGGAAAAGCAGTAGCCAATGGGCATCTTAAACTAGGGGAGAAAGGTCCAAATGCCATGGTAGTTGCAAAGTTCTCCCCTTTTTTAATCATTCCATTTCTGGCTTTGCTTCTTAACTTCCTCTTAACTTCACTTTGGTGTATTTCACGGTGTGTTGCTTTGCTTTTCCTTGTGTGCCTTCCAAGTAGAAAATAACCTTAACTGAGTTTCTTGACTTTTTCAGTCAGTCTTTCAGCTGGGTACTTGGATTGGGAGAAGGGTCTCTGGCTGGCTGCAGGCGGGCAAGGGGGATTGCCCTGGGCTCTCCCACAAAAGCCAATGGAAAGCAGGCTGTGTGGCCCTTGGGAATCCCGGTTATCCCGCTGGAAACGAGGAGCCGCTCCACGGCGTGACCGTGGGAGCAGCCAGCCTTCGGGCAACCCAGCTGAAAAAGCGTGGTCTCAAGCCAATGTCTTTGCTGTCGTTTGAATTCCTGCATTTTTCTCTTGTGTGTGTTTGTGTGTGTCTTCCTTGCTCCTACAGGTCCACCTTTGTCCTCCTTATCCCCTGCTCCTCTTCCACCTTTCTTCCCGGTTCCTTCCTCCCCCCTGCAGAGCAACCCACGCCGCCTTTTCCTGGATTATCCTTTGTGCTCCAGTGCTTGGCTCTGGGTGATTTCTCCTCATTTCCTCTCCCATCCATTTCTCTTGCCAGCTTTGAGTTTAACATATTTTTTTAAAAAAGAGAAGAAACAGCAACCTATGCTGCCTGAATCCTTAATTCCTTTAACCTGCCTCACCAGCACCCTAAATTCAGCTCCTTGCCCAGCTGCCCCTTTCCCTGTTTTATGCTCAGCATCTTCAAGCTCCTCTATGTCATGTAGTGAGCTTGGGTATAGATATAGGGTAAATACCCAACTGTAGCCTGCCCGGGCCCTATGCTGGGCATTAATTAAGCGAAGAGCCCATGACCCCAAGAGCCCATAGGCTTTAGCAATGACTAGTGTTTCTATGGCCAGTAGCTCCATGAGGGCTTTTTCTTAAGAGCATCTTGAATGAACATAGGTTTCTCTCTTTTTGAGATGTTTCCTAAATGTTTACCATATATTTTTTTCTTAAACTATCGCTGACACGTGTTTGAAATGGATGATCCTAAAGCTTTTGTATGTTCTCTTTTTTTGGACTGAACTATTATTTACAGGGGGAGAGGGGCAAGAAAGGCTCTAGAGGGTCTAAAGGGGATAAGGGAGACCAAGGAGCGCCTGGATTAGATGCACCCTGCCCATTGGTATGTTCTGTTTTATCTAATGTATTGCTGTGAGTCGCGGCTCTTCTCCAGAAGCATTTGGTCTACGAAACGCGGCGAAACCCGAGTGCTCTGAGTGACACCGGGCACTGGAGCCACGGTACCCAGAAGGGAAACAAGTCTCTGGTATTTGAATGGGGCATATTTCTGTCCGGATTTGTCTATAAATCTAGATGAATGAGATTTTTGTCTCAACTCCTAAGCGGCAGCGAGCGTGCTGCAAAGATGTCTGCAGCGTGGCCACAAATCCCAGGTGGATTTGTGCACCATGCACCCAGGAATGCAGCGTCCAGCCTTCCCTGCAAAGGCTGGGAATGCCTAGGAAAAATGGGAAGGAACCTGCTGCTTCTGCAGAGGAACCCAAAGCAGCCTGTACCCTGGGTCCGTGGCCGGGGTGCCCTGTGCCAGTCCTGGGAGGCAACGGCGCCTCTCCCGCCGCGGCTGGCATTGACCCGAGTAACGACAGTGGTTGATTTCATGAACAGGGCCTCCGAGGCTTTAAAGGCGAGAAGGGGGAGCCGGGGTTGCCCGGGCTTGACGGGCTGGATGCCCCGTGCCCGTTGGTATGGCGCACCTTCCCTTTCCTGCATGCTTCGCTCGCCTTGGCTCCCGGCACCTCCCCGCAACCGCGAGCGCCTGGCGCTCCCTTCCCTGCTTGTCCCCGTGCCGCTTTCCCGGCGCTGCCGTGCTCCGGGCCGGTCCCCACCTGCATGTGTGAAGCTCAGCGTCGCTTTGGGTGTGCGGGAAGATGGGGTGGGAGGGAATCGTTACTGACAGCCGCTTCGCTTCTTCCGTTGCCCTCACTGCCACAGCTTCTGTTAGAACAGTGCATGACCTCTGCCGTGGGCTAAAATCCCTATGGGTTCGCTCTATCCTTGCTTGTGTGCAGCTAAGAATAGCCTGGCACCTCCGTGGTACCTCGGGCACCCCGTACCTTCTAAAGGGACCCAGCACAAGAATGGTTATATGGCCGGTGAACTCATGACGAACACTTCTTTGGATGCTTCCGTCCCTCCGTTCCCACTAGATAACTCCTATTTGTGGCCTTCTCCTGGAAGCAAAACAGTATCCAAAAACCTTGAATCTGGGATTGACTGTTTCCCCATATCCATCTTAACCGGGTATTGGAAGGAGGTTATCATGCTAGCGTCTCATCTAGCTAGACCATCGCTGTCCTGCCCTTCAAAGCCCCACGGAAATGGGGCTGCAAAAATGTCCCAAGGAAAGGAAAAGCAATATTTCATCTCAAAGGGCTTTTCTGGTTTACTACCCCAGGAAATCAGCAGCACTGAGACATGTGCTTCGCCTCCCATGAAGAACACTTGTTTACGGAGCAGGTTTTAAGTATACAAAACACCTAATTTTGGAGGAGCACGAACTCTACTAGGGCCCCAACCAAGCTGTCTATCTCTTTTTTAGTCCCCACTTTCTGTTAGGATAGCTGGAGACCTATTTTTGTTGAGGGAAACTTGCCAGAAAATGTGCTGAAATAGAGATGCCGTTTTATGTGTGTGTGTGTGTATATATATCTATATACATATATATAGTGTCCTGGCATGCAAGCTATAACTCCAATGAGCACGGATTTGGCTCCAGCTACACTCAAAGCTTAGCATCCCGCTGCCGCATCCGTGTTCCCGTGAACTAACGCCTGGCACCTCTGAGAAGCGCGGGGTGAGGCGCGGGCTGCTCATCAGCACGGCGCGCTGCCCTCCTCGGCCACGGGCCCGACAGGTGCTTCCTCGGGAGGACGTTGCTCTGCGCTTGCCCCTCCGCTTGCCCTTTCCCTTCCCCTTCTCGTGGCTTTCGGTGCTGGGGAGGTTTTGGCTTTGGTCGCCCAAGGGAGCAGCGGCCGAAGGTCTCCGTCCCCCGCGGGTGCAGCCGGACCGCTTTGCTCCACTCGGTGACGGCGTTTGCAGCCGAATGTCACTCCGGCTGCCACCCTTTTCAGCCTGGGATTTGGGCTGCGCTGGTTTCCACAGCCAGAGGTTTGGGTTGCTCCCAAGAGGGCAGGAATATATGGAATATATTGCGCCCTGTCCCTCCTGGCGCGGCTCGGGGGGTTTGCTGCAGCTCTAAGAGCAAACCCATCCCTCCCATCCCCGTTCCCCGCATCACTTCCCGCATCCTAAAGCACTGTTTCACCCGCCTCTTTTGCAGGGAGAAGACGGCCTGCCCGTTCAAGGCTGCTGGAATAAGGTAAAATAACCCCGGAGAGGATGTGGCGGGGCTGCAGCTCCCGCTGAGCTGCTGTCACCCCTGCCCCGTGCCGAGTTGTCACTAACGACTTGTTGGGAATTGCCACTAACGCCCCTTTATGGTTTCTTGTTTTTCTTTTTGCAGTGATGGTTCTAACCCTGGACTGGCCTGTGTGTGTTACTGTACATAGAATATTTATTTTTATACGGTGTTCTTCTCCAAAGTGCCATAAGTTACGTATTTTTACAAATTATCGAAAGGCTGCATATTTTTTTTTTGTACAGAAAATGCTAAGCCCCCCCTCATTTGTCATTGCTCTGCCTACGTTATGCTTGTCCTGCCATGGAGTACAGCTGTAATATTTACATGGTATTTGTGCGCACATGATGAATATTGGACCTTAATAAATTATTGCATTGCAAAGGGCCTGGAGGAGCTGTCCTGCATACATTAAAGGTCATTTTGTTTGCTTTTCAAGCTGGAATCAGGCAAGAATATTTCACACTAGCATGCATTTTTATTAAACTGGACCATTAGCAATTTTTGAGGACTAAAAGGTATTGCTGGGGCAACTCGGAGCAGGCAAATGCTATCCATACGGATGCTTGTGAGCACCCCCCTTCCAGGGGCTGCTCCTGGGCCGGATCGCTTCCAGTTAGGAAACTGGGTCAACTCAAATTCCAACCCGAATGGGTCCCCTGAGCACTTTCCAACCATCTCTTCTTCTGCCAGCATTGTCCCTCGGATGACACTTTTCCATTTGTGATGTTCCGCATGCGGCGCCGGCGGTGCTGGCGCTCGAATGGTACAGCAAGGACATTAATGCCAGGGCACTAAGGAGGTCCTGCTTGCTTTTTATTCAATATTATCTCTCATGGATATGACCTCCAGCTCTGTGTGTGTGTGAAGCTTTGCAACTGTGAAGACTGGCCAATAGGAACAGCACACTGGTTTAAGCATGAATATCGCAGTTCTTGTGTTTTGGCCTGTGAAACACAAAACAGTCATTAAAAAACAACAAAAAACCCCAAAACAGAAGTAGACATATTGATGACAGAATTGGTTATGGAGGGTTGTAGTAAGGGCAGGGAATTTCTGCTCTGACTCGGTGGCACGTTGCATGCAAGACAGGTTGGTTGGATGCTCCACTCCCATCTAAAAATTCTGGCTGTTTTTCATCCTCAAACCCGGGTGGATCTATAGAAGAAAACTGCAATGTCTCTGGTTGCTTTGGTTTTGTTTTGTAGCTGCTATTTGTGACTACACTTGGAACTGCATGGAATTGCCTTTGTGATTGCATGGAATTGCCTTTGCTTGGACTTGCCTTCACCCGAATGCAACCAAAATGGTTCTGGATCTGTTTGTTATTTGGGGGGCTGTTTTTCAGCTGATGAGCTTGCGCGAGAGCAGGGTTTTGGCTGAGGCATAGGAGACCTTGAAATGCAATTGCCAGCATGCAGCTCTTAGACCAGGTGCTCTAGGGCACCATGGTAGATGATTTATCCTGATTTCTCCTGGAATCAGGTGCTTAATTTGCAGTGGTCACACCTAAACGCCGTTGTGAGCCCAGCCTCGGGCCTTAAGTGCTGCTGGAGGGTGCTCAGCGCCTGTAGGCATTTGGATGACACCACGATGCCTCTCTGGAGGCTTTGGGTTGGGTGCGTGTTGGCTTGTGAGCATCTTGGGTGGGATACGCCCTGAGAGAGGGAAAGAACCCAAGGCTGCTTGTGGCAAAAAATCACGGAAGATGAAAGAATGTGGATTCAATGGCCCAAAGAAGAGGCCTTGTGCTTCAAAGAGAGGCCCCGTTACCAAGTCTGCGCTCGAGCAGCTTGGCTTGGTGCTTCGCCCCCTCACCCTGCAGCAGGCGCATTGCCCTCGCGGATGCCCCTCGCCTCGGCCGGGCTGCCTTGACGGCGTGTCGTTTCTCTGCCCCCTCAAGGGTCAAACTCCTTGGCTCATAGCCAAGAAGTGAGGTAAGCGCGAGGGCGCCGAGCTCGGCACGCGAGAGCCCGCTCTGAGGAGGAGGAGGACCTTGCCCAAGAGCCGCCGGAGACGCCTCGCCAGCTCCCTCGTGGAGCCTGGGATGAGCTTGTGGCCCACGCGCCCCAGCGGGCGATGCCGGTGGGGCCGCAGGTGTCTGCTTTGCTCCCTGCCTTCTCCACGAGGCAGAGCTTGGAAAGGGCCCCACTTAATGCCCGTGTTTCTTTTCTTTGGTCGTGTTTGCTTCGTTCTGTTGCTGTGGTGGGACTCTTGAGGTGAAGGACAAGGCCCGTTTTCCAGCAGCCGCTGCACGAGCGAGTGCAGGGCATAGACAGTGTTTCTTGTGGGATCCCAGGAAGAAATTCTTGGATCCAAGGAAGAACTTCTTCCTGAGCAATTACCTGTGGAAAAGCAGTGCAGTCCTGTGTGCTGCTCCGCGAGGACATGACAAGATCTTCTATCTTCTACTACCGTTTCTGGTTGCCAGATGACAAACTTCCACCTATACCTTTGATGATTCCATCTTTAACCCTTTCATCACTAACTTTTTCTTCTCCTGGGAAGTTGGAACGGACTGATTTTTTTTTTCCCCGGAAAGGGAAACGTATACTGAATTTTCAAGTTATGATTTCTCTCTCTTGAGAGCAAATGAGGAGTTTGGAAGAAAAGTGGTTTTACTGAACAATTCTTTTTAGCTTCCCGTACTCTGTTTGGGCCTCCATCACTCAAACTGTATATATCTTGTCTGGAGTCCTCTAGGACTACTTTGTTGACTCTTTAAGGACCTTTATTTTTGTGGGCACCTTTTAAGAGACATACCTCCATGTGGAAAATAAGGATCACAAGGATGTATTTAACCTTGACTATTTGATTCCCATTTGATTCCCACCTGCCTTAATGCCGCTAGCTGTGGGTTAAAGCACTTTGATGAGGCAGGGCCCTTGTTATTGCAGTTAATGAGCGGTGTTATCTAAATCATTAGGCAGGACTAAGTGAGAAGGGGCTCATGTTATGGCTCAGAGAGGAAGAACTGACTTGAAGCTCAAAGCGATGCCTCCTAAATCTGAACAAGTCCCAGAAATGCAGCAGTCTTCATTCAAATACTCTTTTTTTTTTTTTTCAATTTAGCGGGAGTGATCCTGGCTTTTTGACAAGGAGCCCTAGATCCAGCACCCATCTCTTTTCACCACTGCCCTCCACCGCTTCAAAAAAAGCCCCATTCAAGGAGTAAAAAGAGCAGGGGAAAAGTTAAGCAGTACAAATCCAAGGGCTTTATTGAATAAATACAGGAGCAGGGGAAGAAATTGTTTCAGCTAAGAACAGGGCTGATGAAAAGGTTAACTCGTTTTACTTGTAATTTTTATGTTTATTTTTACTCTGTTTTGTGGGGGGATGAGGGGAGAACCTGACCAGAACTGCAGGCGGTAGGCATGCTATTTTTTCTTCCTTTTTTTTCTTTTTTTTTAACAAATTATATATATAGTTTGATAATGTTACTTACACTTTTCTTTATATTGATAATATTTTGGGGACAATTTATTTGCCATTTTTTGTTTTCTTGTGTTTTCTTTTAGGAAAAAATATATATTTTTTTTGCGGGGGGGCGCTTTTGGAATAAGTTTTAAAAAAAGCCCCTCACCCATAATGTCCTCAGGACATTCCTCTTGTCTTTTTCTCTCTCTTTCAATATTAAGCTGGTGCTTTCCATGGACAAACCCTTTTATTTTTTTAATATTTATAAATATACCCACCCGGGCCACCCTTGGGGACCAGGTACCAGTGACCTCTCCCAGACAAGATGGTCTCGCCAAAACTCCGTACGTTCATTTACAGAACTCAAAAGGGCTATTCTGGGGACCAGAGGACTGCAAACGGTCTCTTCCAAAACCAGGTGGTGGGTCAAAAAGCCACAAGTCTGGCAAGAGTCACTGCGTTCGCTTCTGCAGCACGCTACGTTTTTGTCTCAGCCAAAACGGCTTTCTTTTGCCTATTTTCAGAAAATATTATTATTTTTTGTTCTCACGCTTTTATTTCTCTGTGTTTCCTGCTGCACTCTCCCTGCTTCTTGTGTCGCTTTGCGATCAAACACCCTGATCTGCTGAAAGCATCAAGGCAAAATGTTGAGTTAGGATTGCAGGGGTTTGCTAATAACTTTTGGGGTTGATTGTAAAGCTTCCAGTTAGCTCTATAGCTTGGTGATCATTTTGTTTGCTTTTTACATAAAGACATTTCTTTGCTAAACCGACTTGGAATAGGTTAAAATAGGGTTTTTTTAAAGAGAAAAGATTTTTTTCTGCAAAATATTAGTTTTTTTTTTTTAACTGTTAACGCAAAGATTTTAGAAGGGGAGACCTATTGGTGGTAGGTAGGAGAGGGTGCATTGCGGATCCGCCAGCGTTCGCGGGGTGGATCTTGGCTTCCCGCTTGTGGTTGCACAGTTTGTCCCCAGCGTTCCCGGCTGGGGATGCGGGATTCCATGCCGTGATAATTCCATAGTTTTCTCACAGCAGCGTTTCAAGATGTTCCTCTCCTGCAAAGATTTGCTCTTCCCTTGATGTTTTACCTCAGTCTTTCCACCAAACGCCGCCTCTGCCTTCTTATCCCTCTTTGGATTTAAAGATGGGGTAGATTAATGCAGGAGGTTGTGTCTCCTCCAACCTCTTCCCAAAAAAAGGGGTATTGAGCATCCCTGTGATGGAGTTACAGCTATATCCACACCAGCAAACAACACAGTGCAAGGGGAGGAGGTGTGAAGAGGAAAACAGGTCCTTGCCAAGGAACTATATCCCTGCAGGAAGTTTTATTTTGGACGGCTCTGGCTTGGCTGAGTGGATAGACTATCAGCAGGA